AGAGGCAGGGAGGAGGGAAGTGAGAGACCAGGAGAGGCCTGGGACACTAGGTTCCAGCTGAGCAAGCCCAACCAGGGCCTGGACTCGGGGCACACGCTCACTCTATGTCCACTTCATCTCTCCTCCTGGATCTGCATTCTTCCTACCATGGCACCTAGCCACTGCCTCCATGTGAGAGCCCTGACTGGCCAAGACTACACAGGGTCCATTGGCTGCAGTGCCCACCTCCTTGGCCATAGGCACTAGTCAGGGATAAAGAAGGTGTGTTTGGGGGTAGGGTGTAGACAGCCAGGCAAGGTGGAGGATGACCCTTTCTCCCACCCTTAGGTAAGGCTAAGCCAGGGGAGAGAACCACACGGCAACAGGAGGGAGCAGATGCAGTGCAAGACTTGTGGATGATTTTCTTCTCAAAATGGGCCCACGGAGAGTGAATATGGAGACAGATATGGGACTTTACTTCCACTGGAAGATTTGAAAGTAGAAACAGAAAACAAGGTACACGGCAGAACTGTGAAGAGGTGGGTAATTAGGGGCACCTGGGTGGCTCAGTGGGTTAAGCCTCTGCCTTTGGCTTGGGTCAGGATCTCAGGGTCCTGGGATTGAGCCCCTCGTTGGGCTCTCTGCTCAGCAGGGAGCCTGCTTCCCCCTTCCTTCTGTGTGCCTCTCTGGCTACTTGTGATATCTTGCTCTCTGTCAAATAAATAAATAAAATTTTTAAAACAAAAAAAAGAGATAGATAATGAGATATGCGGGACCTGCAGTTGGGGTGACCTCAGGATCTAAAGCTGGGTCAAAACCTAGTCTGATAAGGAAGGAAGAGCAGTGAGTTGTGCCAACATTGAGTATGAATTTTGTGAGGCAAAGGAAAGTAGTCAGGAAGACTCGTCCAGGGTAGATGGAGAATGAAGAGGAGGTCTGAAGGGGACAGGTCCTGAAAAGAGGGATGGGCAGTTTCTGGGAGTTCTTCAGGTGATGTTTAAGGGGCACGGGATGTGGAATTGGCCAGGGGCAGGAGAAGAGCCCCGTGCTACTCTCATGGAGCTGCTGTCAACAGGCCCCTGAACCAGGTCAGTGATGGCAGTGGGAAACAAAAAGCGAAAAAGATAAAAGATCAGCAGAACCAGCAGCCGAGTGAACTGGAGAGAGAAAGGCTGAGCGAGCCATGTGAGGCTGGGGTTGGGGTGGAGGGGCAGGAAGAGCAGGATGGGGAACGCTGGAAGAGAGCAGGGCTGGAGCTGGGCTTAAGGAGCTTCAGCTGCTGGCCAATTTGCAGGCTCGGCCCCTCGGCTCCAGACCTACCAAACGGAGGCCACCATTTAGAAAAAGGCCCAGAAACCAGCCGGCATCTTAGGCTGGGAGCTTCCCAGCCAAAAAGCTCCCAGGCTTTTAGCCCACCAGAATGAATCCACCTAAAGGAGACTTCCCTTGCTCAGAGGACGGCAGCTGAAGCCAGCAGAGAACTGTATCCAATTCACAAGAGCACCTTCTGTGCCCCAGGCCCCGCTCCGGGCGCCAGGGATTCAGCAGGGAGCACCGAGCCCTGCCTTCCTGGGGCTCACAGGAAGACTAAGACAAACAAGCAAAACCCGAGTGCCCGCACGTTAGGAAGCTGTCCCGGCTCCAGAGTGCTTCCGTGGGCCTTTTTACATACCACTCACTGCCTTGGCCTCCTTGGCACCTGGCACCAACCGCTGGCTGGGAAGCACTTAACTACCGACTCAATCACAGTCATCCAAGAAGTCAATACTTGATGCAGCTTAGTGACCAAGCCTCCAAAAGGCTCTGGCAAAACTAAAAAATCTCCAACATGGAGTGACTTAACATCAGCAATTACTTCTTCATATTCCTTTTTCCCTGTTGTTCCAAGAAGTTCTGCAAACAGTTCTAGGGCAGCCTAGAGGGGCCCAGCTGTACAAAATCTATTGATTCTAAACAGGTCATAAGGCTCTTTCCTACATAGCTGGGTTATGCAAAGAGCTTCATCTAAACCACTTAAATTCCAAATATGAGCTTCTTTCTAATGCATGCAGTGAAAGGATCAAAAGGATTGCGACCAGAAGTCTGGGAAGCATCACAAGAGATCAGCTCTACTGCCCGACCCAACTGGCTTGTTTAAACACATAAGCTGCCTCATCATAATATAGTTTATGCCAGCTTGCCTGGCCACGGCCAAAACACCAGGATGGCACAACACATTTTTCTGTATTGCCCTGTGTACATCAGTGACATCACAAAAAAAGCAACGGACCTTATCTAACCAGAGTAATGTTTCATCCCAAGTAACCCCTCAGATTCTGTCTTTCTTCCCTTTAACCCCTAAACACACACACACAGTAACGCACACAGCCCAGAGATCTGGCATGAGACCAAGAAACTCAAACAACCACCCAAGTTTAGCTTAAATTCATAAAACTAGGCTTGGGCTTCCACAACTTCTCTTGGGAACACAAAAAAGGTTTACCACTCAGAGCTCTTGGCTTGTCATTCTCTGGTGACCTGCCCCAGGCACACAATAGATCAGAGATGAAAGATGAAGACTAGGTACTACTTACTTGAGCAGTTTAAAAAACCATGTCATTTTCTAACTTTGTAGCAAATGTGTCCGATTACCAGCACTGGGAGAACAAGGGCACCACAGTCCACTCTGCATTATCTTTATGGCTAGGCAGTTCCTTGGATTTTCAGAAGTACGAGGACTTCTCTGTTCTTTGATGGGTAGTGCAAGATGTGTGCAATTTGCCCTGGCCTTGAACGCTGGGGGCTGTAGGCTAAGTGGGGCATACTGGGAAATGCAGGGGTGAGGGGTTCTATAACCCAGGATGGGATCTCCGTGGGCTGCTGTACTCATAGCACAGGCGAGCAAACCAAGGAGGGAGATCCGCTGGTGGTCGGCTAAGTCACACTCCATCTGACAAACAGGCAAGATCCACGCCCTTACCTTTAGAGATACCCCAACTTAATCTCTGGATGCAAGGGAGGTATTGTGGAAGAAACCCCACATAGAGAATACAGCAGTAAGCTCTAAGTAAGACAGTCATGAAATGAGGGACCTTTGTTTTGGGTAACAATTTAGAGGCCTTCTGGCTAAGAGGAGGGAAAAAAAAGTGGGGCTTTTTTTTTCTTTAAACTTCACTTTCACATTATATTACTGAGACTCGCCCTACAGCTGCCTGAACAATTATATATAATATACCAAACCTTCTCTCTAAAAAAGTCCTTATTGAGTATAAATGTAGTCTAAAGACATGGATATACCTTAAGACACAAGGTTTCAGTTATCTCAAGTAAAAGCTTGACTCCAGAGATATTAAGTTTTCCATCTTCACAAACAAGAATGTCAAAGGACAGAACCCCTGCTGGTACAGCCAGACTGCCTCCCTGAAAGCGAAGAGAAAAGTCAGCATTCTCTAGTCCCCACCCACCCCCTTCCATGGCAAGGTCTCATGTGTGGGTCTCACTCCCTCAATAATACCTTTGGGGATTTAAGACACAGCACAGTTCTTGGTAAGCGCTCCTACCCTCTTCCCCCCACCCCACACACCCAAGCAGCCCCAGGCTGCCTGGCTTGCTTCCTTGTGGGCTTCCTTGCCAAGTTACTCCTGTGGAAATGTTAGTGTAGCCAACAATGGCCACTCTCATCCTCCACCCCTCCCCACCCCCTTGAGGGGCAGCTGAGCCAAGCCAGGAGTCTACTTTAAAAGAATTTAATAATCTTTACTTTATTTCTTGGGGAGGTTCAGGTTCCTGACCCATCTACCAAATATCCTGAATACCAACTGTCACAATACCGATGATTACAACAGTCTTGATAAACGCTGACTGTAGTAAGAGAACTGTAAAGCACTCCATGGCTTGCATGTTACAACTCCATTAAAAAAAAAAAAAGTTTAAAAGGTAGCAGGTTGCTACCTTAGGCAGGGACTTAGCCCTGCAGAAGCCTTTTTTTCCAGGAAAAAACAGGGGAGAGGACTGATCTGATCCCTCCCGCGAGGTCCAGCCTTATCTGTCAGTTGGTTCTAGCCGGGATGGGTGAGCTCTCCTTCTCCAGAGAAACTCCGGAAGTCCTCCCTTACTTGAGGTAGCACAGTTTTGTTTTCTCTCCTATCTGCGTCCTGTGTTTAGGGATACAGGCTATCAACCTGTACGGTCAGGTTCGTCACCCTCCTCCGCCTCCCCTCCCACCTCTGAGATGTAGGGCAGCCACCCGCGGCACCGTTAGCCCAGCCAACTCACTGTCAAGGCTTTTAGTCTACACGGTAAGCCAGTTTCATTCCTAAAGGGGGAGGGAGGAACCGGGCACTGTATTCCCAAGAAGTTTCCAAGAGCAGTGCAGAGCGCGGAAGTCACTCGCCTGGACCACTTTGCTGCTTACGGTGTCCACAGTCTAGTGTGAGTCCACAGAAAGTTGGGGATCCCCGCCCTGACCTCGAAACCCGGGGCTTGGCGCCAAGCCGAGGAAGCGCCCCTCCCCTCCCCGGCCTTATAGGAGCCCCTGACCGCTGCGTCTCCAACTGCGCCTCCCGAAACCGCCGCATTCGAATTCGGGCTCGGCTGGCCTGCAGAGGTTTGCGTGCCCGCGGGAGCGCAAGCAAGGAAGAGGCGGCGGGGACGCCGTCAGACCGGGAAGGGGCCGAAGGCCCCCATCACTCGCTCTTCGGCCGCCCCGCCCGCGCTGGCCAGCGCGCAGCCCCGCGGGACGCGCGGAGCAGGAACTCGCCCAAGTTTGCCAAGCCCCAGCCGAAGTCTCTGGAAAGTTGTAGCTCCCTCTCGGGGCGTCTCGCCGGGCCCTCGGGGGCGGGGGATACGTGTGGGGGTGTCGCCGCGGGAAGGGAAGGGAGCACCGCGGCCCGGCACCTGTCCGTACCTCCCCTCTGGCTCCCCACCCGGCTCTGAGAGGACGTGAGCTCCGCTCGGCGGGGACAGACCCCCGAAGGCAGAGCGCGGGGTTCTCTGGGGCCGCCGCATCCTAGCACCTTCAGGGGAGGGGGCCGAAGACTCACCTGGGAGGCGGAAGAGGAGAGGACAGAGGCCGGTCCTTGGCGTGGGCAGCCCCCAGCAGGAGCGGCGCGGTCACTACAGCCCCCAGGCAGCGGCACCGAGTGAACGGTCCCGCCGCCGCCCCCTCCGTTCTTATACGGCTATGACCACGCCCCCACCCCCCCCCCACCCCCGCCCCAAGCCTTCCCTCCCAGGGGAGCGAGGGGCGGGGTGGGGCGGAGCCAGCGCCCACGGGATCCTTCCGCCTGGGCGCTGACGGCGAGGGCAGGGCAAAAGGTGCCCTCTGATTGGCTCCTCGGGTGAATGGTTGCCAAGAGACGAGTAAACCTTCCGCGGCGGGAAGGGGAGGGGGTGCTCAAGGCGGTAGCACTGCGCAGGCGCAACAGAGAGGGGCTTGGTTGACACCCCCTCACCCCCTGCGCCAACTTCGGAGTTACTGGGACTCTACTTTCCGCTAGGCTCTTCTGCCATTGCAATCATATAACTCTTCTTCCCAAGCTCTTCCCATCTCCGTCCAGCTCCCTCGCAGGCCTGCTTTTTTTCTTTTGCTTCTCTGGGGATTTCCGCGTTGGTTCTCTCCGGGACAGGGGAATGAAACCCCGACACCTACCTCCGGCGTGTGTTTCGAAGTCTGAAAAAAAACTTATGGTTTCTGAGCCAAGGGAGCCTTCCTCTTTCCCCCAGCAAATTGCTTGGAGGCCATCAGGGAGAGGGCCGGCGCAGTTGGTTCTCTGCCTGCAATTACCACCTGTGTGCGGTTAGTGGGACTGAGGGCCTCAAGGAGTCGGTCGCCAAGGCGAGCACCCGCGATAGCTTCGGCCCCGCTTGAAATGGAAATGTCGCGTGTTCTGTAACATGCAAGCGGGGCTTGGACACCACCCACTCGTCCCATAGCAAGAGGCCTAGATTCTAAACGCATATCAGTCTGGGTTGGGATCTCAACTCGCCACCTGTCTGTAAGGCCTTGGGCAATGAACTTAACCAGTCCTCCATAAATCTCTTTCCTCACCTGTATGACAAGAGTAAAGATAGAGCAGCTTTCTAGGCTTGTATAAGTACTAAATAGGAACATGGAAGCTAATAGTGCAGTGTCTGATGCAAAGTGTGTGTTAAGTGTTGTTTATACCAAATAGTAGTTGTTATCAAAAACATTTATGGGGGCGCCTGGGTGGCTCAGTGGGTTAAAGCCTCTGCCTTCGGCTCAGGTCATGATCCCGGGGTCCTGGGATCGAGCCCCCCCTCTGCTCGGCAGGGAGCCTGCTTCCTCCTCTCTCTCTCTCTGCCTGCCTCTCTGCCTACTTGTGATCTCTATCTGTCAAATAAATAAATAAATCTAAAAAAAAATTTATGGAGCTTGTACTGATCCTCTTCTGGGTGGTGGAGAAAAAGGTTACCTCCCAGATGCAGTATTTCCCTATTCCTCTCCTTGCATCCCAGGCTGAAATAACAGTTTCTGCCAAGATCTCAAGAGCTCTCTTGGGGAGGGGGAGGTCTCCTGGAACGTTGATGAGATAGAATTTCAGTATGCCTGCTTGTAGGGCTAGTCACAGTGATTCTATTGTTGGACATGAAATCAGGATAGATGGACTGATTTTTTCTCACTTTTTGAGGTATAAATTCAGTAGCATGCACAAAGCTGGTGTGTACACAATGATGACTTTCTACATATGTGTACACCCATGTGCCTGCCAACCAGCTGAAGATGTAAAACATCTCCAGCTTCCTCATGCCCCTTCACGCTCAGTGTCCCTCAAGGGTAAACACTATTCCGACCTCGGTCGCCATATATTAATTTTCCAGGGTTTGTACTTGATGTAGATGAATTACATGCCTGTGCATTTTTGCATCTGGCTTCTTAAGAGTATATAATATTCATCCATTCTGTTGCATGTAACAATGCCTCATTCTTTTCCATTGTATATTACTTAATTATGTAAATATTCAACAATTTATACACTCATTCTACTAGTGGATGTTTGAGTTACATTAAATTTTTGTCTATCCTCAAATGGATAAAGAAGATGTGGTCCATATATACAGTGGAATATTACTCAGCCATCAGAAAGGATGATTACTCAACTTTTGCATCAACATGGATGGAACTGGAGATTATGCTGCGTGAAATAAGTCAAGCAGAAAAAGTCAATTATCATACGATTTCACTTATTTGTGGAACATAAGGAACAGCATGGAGGACATTAGGAGAAGGAAGGGAAAAATGAAGGGGGGCTAGAAATCAGAGGGGAAGATGAACCATAAGAGACTATGGACTCTGGGAAACAAACTGAGGGTTTTAGAGGGCAGGGGTGTGGGTGAATGGGTTAGCCTGGTGGTAGGTATTGTATCCATGTATTGCATGGAGCACTGGGTGTTATACGCAAACAATGAATCATGGAACAATACATCAAAAACTAATGATGCACTGTATGGTGACTAACATAACATAATTTTTTAAAAAATGTGTTTGTCTATCCTGAATGAAGCTGTTACAAACTAGCTCCTTTTTCTAACTTCATAGGGATGTAGCTGAAAAACAAAAACTGTGTATATTTAAGGTGTAATACATGATGTTTTGATACACACTGTAAAATGACTGCCACAACCAACTTAATTAACATAGATTACCTCACATAGATAATGTGTGTGTATGTGTAGCACAAGTGCTTAAGATCAGTTCCCTTTGCAAATTTCAGGTACATAATATAGTATTATTACTTATAGGCCTCATTGCTGTACATTAGATCCTCAGAGCTTACTCATAGGGCATAACTGAAGCTCTGTACCCTCAGGCCTACATAGACATGTCTTTTATGTTGGATTTATACTCAGGATTGGAACTGCAGAATCACAGAATATATACACATTAAGCTTTAAATATACTGCCAAATAGTTTACTCAAGTGGTATATCAGTTTGTATACCAACCAGTGATATGAGACTTCCAGTTGCTCCACATCCTTGCCAATATTGGTATTACTGGTCTTTTTAATTTAAAAAAATGGGTGTGTATTTCATTATGATTTCAATTTACATTTATCTGATGATTAGTGATGTCGAGCAACTTTTTATATGCTATTGGCCATGTGATGCCCTTTTAGTGAAGTGTCTGTTCAAGTCTTTGGCCCATTTGCAGAGAGTTGTCTTATCTTAGTGATCTGTAAGAGTTCCTTACATATTCTGGGTATAAGTCCTTTGCCCAGTATATATATTACAAATATCTCCTCCCAGTCTGTGACTTTCTTTTCATTCTCTGAATGTTATCTTTTGACAAACAGAAATATTTAAGTTTAAAAAAGTCTAATTTATTAATCTTTTAGGACTTGGGCTTTCTTATGTCCTGTTTAAGAAGTCTGCCTGGTCTAAGTTCACAGAGATAATCACCTTTGTTTTCTTCTAGGAACTTGATTGCTACCTTCATAGTTAGGTCTATGATTCATCTCAAATTAACTTTTTCTGCAGTTAAAGGTCAAGATGTATTTTTTTTCCCATTTGGATATCCAATTAGCTCAGCACCAGTGCCAAGCAGTTTTGTTGAATGAATGAATGAATGAATATTTGTTGAATGAAAAATTCATTTTAGAGAACAAAGCAACCACTAAGAATCCAGAATGTCCAGAAAAACCCAGAACACATGATCACAATAAACTTAATGCAAAATTTTGTATTACATTAACTCTTGGACCATTTCTATTTTTTTCAGTATCTGGTGAATACCATTAGCATTAGTAGCCTCAGGGTAGAACACAGTTCAGAAATTCTTATCTAGAATTTGATCTGGCATGGTTTGGTTCTGCCTTTGTGGAGGTAAAATTTTGTTCAGCTTCCTGACCGGTAGGTAACTTTGACCATTAGGGTGGGGGGAGAACCAAGAACCAGAAAAGAAATTAATTATTCATAAGTGTGTGTATGTGTATGTA